TAGTGCTGTATTTTTGTTGCTACTTTTTAAATTTTTTTAAAGTTTTCTTCTATTTTTAGTTTTGTAATTTTTTGTGACAGTTTGTCTCTATGTCATTTTGTATTTGTAAAGAAAAAAAATCTTTAAATACATTTGATGTAAATGTTCTGTCTGCTGTCAGGTAGTGATAAGCCAGATGTGCTTCAGTTTGGTTTGAGCATGGTTTCAGTGAACATTATATAAGTTTGGATACCAAATCTGAGCCCTATTGAAATAATTGGAAATTGAATCTAAAATCTCTGTCTTTTATTGAAAAAAAAGTAACATGATGTAAATCCATTATCAATCATATCATACAGTGATATAGATCCACATCAATCTCAATAAACTATACCACTATACTTTAAGCCTACCCCTCCCTCACCTAACAGCCATTCTCCTTAATTCCTCCTACCACTCCATCCCCCACAGCCACTTCCTCCTGTGCTGCTACCCCCTCCCTCCTAGATTGTAAGCTCGAAAGAGTAGGGCCCTCTAACCCCTCGTGTACTGTTGTTGCTGTTCTGTTTCTTGTATTGTCCCCCCCCCCTCTATTGTACAGCGCTGAGTAAACCCTTTGGCGCTATATAAACTCGATGTAATAATAATAATAATGAGATGATAGCCACTTGTCAAATGACAGCTCCCCAAGCATGTAAACTGAATTACATCTGCAGTATAAGGGAAGGACGGAGATAGTGGTGATATCGTTGCCCAGATATGGCCATGTTTGATCAATGTTATTATCCAAATATGGCCGTGTGGCCACATATAGGCATTGATGTCACCCCTCCATACCGATCTTGCAAATGAATGGGCTGAGTGTTTTCAGTAGTTACTAAGAACTTGGTGGGTGCAAGCAGCAGCATCTTCCTTAGCAATGCTTGACAACATAAAGCTCTTATGTTCATTCATGCTGAAAGCCTTAAACGTTCGGTGTTCAGATAAACATCCAAACAGTGAATGTTTGGTCTGAACACTCTGCTCATCCCTGCTTTGACAGTACCTTGAAAAAGTGCTTATACCCCTTGAAATTTTATACATGTTGTCATGTTACAACCAAACACTTAAATGTATTTTGTTGGGATTTTATGTGACCAACACAAAGTGGCACATAATTGTGAAGTGGAAGGAAAATGATAAATGGTTTTCAAAATGTTTTACAAATAAATATGTGAAAAGTGTGGCACGCATTTTGTATTCAACCCCCCTGAGTCAATACTTTGTAGAACCACCTTTTGCTGCAATTACAGCTGCAAGTCTTTTTGGGGATGTCTCTGGCAGCTTTGCACATCTAGAGAGTGACATTTTTCCCCATTCTTCTTTGCAAAATAGCTCAAGCTCTGTCAGATTGGATGGAGAGCATCTGTGAACAGCAATTTTCAAGTTTGCCACAGATTCTCAATTGGATTTAGGTATGGACTTTGACTGGGCCATTCTAACACATGAATATGCTTTGATCTAAACATTCCATTGTAGCTCTGGCTGTATGTTTAGGGTCGTTGTCCTGCTGGAATGTGAACCTCCGCCCCAGTCTCAAGTCTTTTGCAGACTCTAATAGGTTTTCTTCTAAGATTGTCCTGTATTTGGCTCCATCCATCTTCCCATCAACTTTGACCAGCTTCCCTTGTCCCTGCTGAAGAAAAGCATCCCCACAACATGATGCTCCACCACCATGTTTCACGGTGGGGATGGTGTGTTCAGGGTGATGTGCAGTGTTAGTTTTCCGCCACACATAGTGTTTGATTTTAGGACAAAAAGTTCAATTTTGGTCTCATCTGACCAGAGCACCTTCTTCCACATGTTTTCTGTGTCCCCCACATGGCTTCTCGCAAACTGCAAACGGGACTTCTTATGCCTGTCTTTCAACAATTGCTTTATTCTTGCCATTCTTCCATAAGGGCTAGATTTGTGAAATGCACGACTAATAGTTGTCCTGTGGACAGATTCCCCCCACGTGAGCTGTGGATCTCTGCAGCTCCTCAAGAGTTACCATGGGCCTGCTTCTCTGATTAATGCTTTCCTTGCCCAGCCTGTCAGTTTAGGTGGACGGCCATGTCTTGGTAAGTTTGCAGTTGTGCCATACTCTTTACATTTTTGGATGATGGATTGAACAGTACTCCATGAGATGTTCAAAGCTTGCTTGAGATTTTTTTTATAACCTAACCCTGCTTTAAACTTTTCCACAACTTTATTCCTTACCTGTCTGGTGTGTTTCTTGGCCTTCATGATGCTGTTTGTTCACTAATGTTCTCTAACAAAGCTCTGAGTGCTTCACAGAACGGCTGTATTTATACTGGGATTAAATTACGCACAGGTGGACTATATTTACTAACTAGATGACTCCTGAAGGCAATTGGTTCAACTAGATTTTAGTTAGGGGTATCAGACTAAAGAGGGCTGAATACAAATGCATGCCATAATGCATCAGATATTTATTTTTAAACATTTTTGAAAATCATTTATCTTTTTCCTTCCCCTTCACAATTATGTACCACCTTGTCTTGGTCTATCACATAAAATCCTAATAATATGCATTTACAAAATGTGGAAAATTTCAAGGGGTACATGAATACTTGTTCAAGGCACTGTAGTTAAATCACACTTTGTTCACAGACGTTTCCTTTCTTAGGGTGATAACAATATTGTCACCCTTTCCTGTACACTCCTAAATTGGACTACATGCAGCCATGCCAATGCATTGTGTGATTGTGGACTTCCAAGCATTTGTACAGATATGCATAGGTGCCCTTCTATATCTACAGATCAGATTAGAAGGAAAATCACTTTTTTAAAGCACAGAAAAAGAACAATGCAATGGCGGAGGAGAGTGATGGGACACAGTCAATAAGTGCTAAAGCTAAGGTACACCACGTGGTGCTTGATCCTGTATAAGCTACAGGTGAGCATATTTTTGCTTGTTTGTACTGCTGATACTCTTAGAGTAGCCTTTTGTTTCTTTTTTTATTAATGTGGAGTTTGTTGGCACATTCTGCTGTAGTCACCGCAGTAAAATTGTAATGTTCTGGAGTGTGCACATATCCACTGAAAGTGTTTGAGTTCAATGAGCCTAACAATAATATAAAACTAACAAAGATTACAGCCAAAGAGATGTATAATGTTGAACCCATGATATTCTGTCTTGGGATGCTGAAAAGTCAGTCAGCTTTAAAGAGCTAAACATAGTAGCCTTGGATATATAAAGCAAATATGATTCCAGTCTTAGTTAACTCAATGGGTGTCATAATCTGAGTAGACCTAGAGGAGTATAACAGAATATTTGTGTAAGCACTGTCCCTTAGACAGACAGGCCTTTAGACTGAGATCCTGTCAGCTGAGGATGCAACTGTTGATGTCCATGTTAACCTCGGGAATAATAAGCAGACAAAGACTTGACAGAATATATCTCTTTAATGCAGTTTTCCTGATAAAAGGACCAGAAGAAAATGTGCCGTATTTAGGGTATTTTTCATTTACAGCCTGCTGGCAAACAGAAATGACCAGTGACAGATAATCCTGGCTCTAGCGCTTGTGGAAACAGTACAGTTTGACTGCAGGGCAAATAGATAGCAGGCTATGACAGGCACTTCCTCTGCTGTAGTAAAAGGGATGACAGTCTATGATTTTCTACATAATATTTAGCAGCGACAGCCCTATAAGCTGCTCTTAAACATATTTGTGATATCTGAGTACGGATTTTTAGGTGTAACCTGAAGTATCCAGAATACCACAGTTTGACACCTCCACACTCAACTATTCTAACAGTCTATTGTTCACCTAATTTTCTGAAACTTTTTGATCACATTACATCTCATGACCAGCACCAAAGCAGCCAACCCAAAGTATAACTTCTGCCCCAAGCCCATTTTATGGAATTGTTCAGTAGAAGACAGTAGAAGAAAAGGCTTAAACACTAGAGCAGTGCCTTCCTGATTGCTTCATGCCTCCACAGCTAAAGTGAAAATATTGATTGCCTTCATTCGCTTTCACTATAATGTGTAGTATCATCTGTTGTATAGATAAGAAACTGTTAGTTTACTTTACTAGTACTGTGTTATGCAGTGCTGGATTAAACTCTGTGGAGACCCCTAGGCAGCAGAAACCTTGTGGCCCCACTCACATGTTTCCGGAGGTTTCTTGTGCGTGAGCTTTAGTAGGACAAAATTGAACTACGTAGTGTGCACAGCGGCTACTAGATGGAAATGACCATCACTGCAGTACATTACATGTACAAAGGTTACACTAAATGAAGATGACCTTTTAGGAGACAAATGGAAATGTTAACCTGATGTCTATTGTTAATGTACTGTACTTTAAGTTGTTATTGGTAGTTTTCATTTCTTTGAATTGATTTATATGTTCTACCTGTTGTAGATAATTTAAGAATTGTAATTTTTTCAAAAAAAAAATTAATATTATTTTGACCTGTTGTCACAGGGTCACTGATGCTTTGCATATATTGAATTTATTCTGCTAAACCAGGGGTCCTCAAACTTTTTAAACAGGGGGCCAATTCACTGCCCCTCAGACCGTTGGAGGGCCGGACTATAGTTTAAAAAAAATAAAACTATGAACAAATGCGGACACAGTACAGGAGATGACCAGAGACTGTGGACACAGTACAGGAGATGACCAGAGACTGCGGACACAGTACAGGAGATGACCAGAGACTGCAGACATAGTACAGGAGATGACCAGAGACTGCGGACACAGTACAGGAGATGACCAGAGACTGCGGACACAGTACAGGAGATGACCAGACACTGCGGACATAGTACAGAAGATGACCAGAGACTGCGGACAGTACAGGAGATGACCAGAGACTGCGGACACAGTACAGGAGATGACCAGAGACTGTGGACATACAACGGTGGCGGGAATACTGGGCCAGCCGCTCCATAAGACGCACAGACATTTCCCCCCAAGTTTGTCTTATGGAGCGAAATAGTGCCTCATCATTGGTGTCAGTGGGAGGAATAGGGCCCCATCATTGGTGTCAGTGGGAAGAATCGTGCCCCATCATTGGTGTCAGTGGGAGGAATAGTGCCCCATCATTGGTGTCAGTGGGAAGAAACGTGCCCCATCATTGGTGTCAGTGGGAAGGAACATGCCCCATCATTGGTGTCAGTGGGAGGAATAGTGCCCCACCATTGGTGTCAGTGGGAGGAATAGTGCCCCATCATTAGTGTCAGTGGGGGGGAGGAATAGTGCCCCATTGTTGGTGTCAGTGGGGGGAGGAATAGTGCCCCATCGTTGGTGTCAGTGTGGGGGGGGGGAAATAGTGCCCTGTCATTGGTGTCAGTGGTGGAAGGGGATAGTGTCCCAACATTGGTGTCAGTGGGAGGAATAGTATCCCATCATTGGTGTCAATGGGAGGAATAGTGTCCCATCATTGGAGTCAATGGGAAGAATAGTGCCCCATCTTTGGTGTCAGTGGGAGGAATAGTACGTCATTGGTGTCAGTGGGGGGGAATAGTGCCCCATCATTGGTGTCAGTGGGAGGGGGGTAGTGTCCCAAAATTGGTGTCAGCGGGCTGTAGTTTGAGGACCCCTGTGCTAAAGTATATCAACTCTTATGAAGTTTGTCAGGTCAAAACTTGTAAACAAAAAGCCTTGCCATTGGTAATGTTATTTTATGTTCTTTTACAGGTTCCTGACCAACTTCAGTATATATACATGATTTTGCATATCGGGTAGGGGGTGCACGCAAGGCGTGCGACCGCCCTACCCGCACCGCTGATCGCGGCCGCAGGTGTCAATCACTGGGTCCCAGACGGTGATTACCCGCCGGCTCCCGGTGATTGCCTGCAAACACTGACACAGAGCACAGCTGCATTGTTTTCAATGCAGCGCTGATCCCTGTCAGTTTCCAGCACACTGTTCCAGAGAGCAGAGCTTAGCTTTCCGGGACAGTGTGTTCCTGTGAAGAACACACCCCCCGCCAACTAGTAAAACACTCCGCTCACACAATTAACCCTTTGATTGCCCAAAAATGTTAAACCCCTTCCTACCCAGTGCCATTAGTACAGTATCAGTATTTTTTTTTTTTTGCACTGATCACTGTATTGGTGTTACTGGGGATGTCAGGTCCCCCTCAGTGTCAGAATATCCGCCGCAGTTCCGCCATAAGTCACTGATCACCGCCATAAGTCGCTGATCGCCGTCATAAGTCGCTGATTGCAGTCATTATTAGTATAAAAAAAAAAAAATTACAGTATATATACCTCCATTTGTAGAAGCTATAACTTTCACGTAAACCAATTCATTTACACGTATTGGGATTTTTTTTAGCAAAGACACGTAAACATGCAGAATACATTTTGGCATACATTTATAACAAAATGTGATTTCCTCAAAATTGTTGGTCTATTTTTATATATAGCGTAAAAAATAAAAAACGCACAGGCATTCAAATACCACCGAAAGAAAGCTCAATTCGTGGGGAAAAAAAGATGTAAATTTAGTTTTGGTTCAGCGTTGCAAGACTGCGCAATTGTCAGTTAAAATAACACAGCAACGTAACACAAACCACTTCTGTAACCGCTTCCTGACCGCCCTATAGCAGAAATACTGCTACAGGGTGGCACGGGTGCGCAAAATCACATATATATACATGATTCGCACTCCTGTGGTTTTCACGCCCCTCCCAAATAGCATCAGATTGCCCGTCAGTACACCAGTACAGGGGCGGACTGACAACTCATGGGGCCCCCTGGCAATAGGGGATCATGGGGTCCCTGTGTCCTTGCCCAAACTCAAAAAAGCCTATTAAAAAGGTACCAGGGGCATCTCATGGGGCCCCCTACTGACCCCAGGCCTTCGGGCAGTGCCCGAATTTCCAAATGATCAGTCCGCCCCTGCACCAGAAATCACATTTAACCCCTTGATTGCCAGGAAGACGCTTATACACACAATAAATCTCCATTGCTTGTATAGTGTCTGAACAGATCAATATCTTTTATCAGATCAGCACTATACCATTGTTCACATTAGTATAGCGCCCCCAAAATCTCAGCATTATCGGGATCAGCCCCGGCACCTGCCAACACCTACGTTTAGCCCCTACGCTTACCCCCCCCTTCTCCCCCAGCAAGTGCATTGTCAATAGGTCACTGTCACTTGATACATTGTACACAAAACCGCAGTGTTGGCAGAATCAGGCCTGATCTCTGTTAGCACTTATCCGTAAATATTGATAACTCTCATATGCAGCAGAGTGCCAGTACTAGTTCCGCGCTACCTTTTGGTGAACTGGCGAGCACTAGTGGTCTAGTTCATCCTGGTCTTTCACATACCTCTTAGATTGTAAACTCCCAGGATTAGGCCCTCCTAACCCTCTAGTATTGAATTGTATTGTTGCTGTATTATCTCCCGTTATATTGCAAAGCACTGAGCAAACTGTTGATGCTATATAAATCCTGTATAATAATAATAATAATAATACCAGCACTGCAGTATGACTTGGTGATGTAGCGTGTCCTATAAGTGTAGTACAAGCTGGTGCGGTGGTGAGCACAAGTATTGTCCCACAGCCACCAAGAATTTGCACAAGGCCCTTAGAGCCCCTAGTATCCTTTTGGATGTGCTTGAAAATCCCGATTGGCAGCCCACAAATTCTGCAGCACCGTACTTCCCCCATTCACTGCCCAACCTGGAATTCAGGTGGATACAGCAAACTTAACTAAAAAAAAATCCTTTTTATCATGCCTGCGGGGTCCCTTTAAACCACCTGCAAAGTTGCACATCTGTACAATAGAACCTGCTGCAGCAAGACTGACATTTGTTTTTTAAATTACATTTTTATTACAAAAAATAAGCATGGGGTCCCCCCCTAATCCTTACCAGACCCTTTAGGTCTGAGAGGAAAGTTAGGAGGGACCCCACAGTAAAAAATTAAAAAAACAAAAAAGCCATACCAGGGCCTTTAGGTCTGGTAGGCCTTTTAAGGGGAAACTTACCTCCCAAAAATGGGGGAGGAGTGTGTGGGGTTCCCCTTAAAAGCCATACCAGGCACTTTAGGCCTGGTAGGAATTTTAAGAGGAACCCCACCCCAAAAAAATGCGGGACAAAATACTACCAGACCCTTGATCTGAACACAGGCAGGAAAGAGGGAGGGGGGAAAAGATAGTACTTCATCCTCCCTCCCTGCACTTACAAGGCCAAGTGCCCCTCACAGTAACTCTTTCTGGTTGCAAGAATGGGCCCTGCTGTTAAAAATTGTTAAAAATTAGAAAACAAATTTAAGTTACATGCACCCGCCAAACAAGTGTAGAAAAATTTGGCCTTGGGTATTGATGGTACCTGAACCTTGCAACACCTCATAATTACTCTTGTTGAGAGTAGGAATGGACCCTGCTGTTAAAAGTTGTTAAAAAATAGAAAAATGTAAAAAAAAAATTGAATTTAGATGTATCTGTCAAACAGGTGCAGATAAATTTGGTATTGGGTGTTAGTGCTGCCTGAACACTGTAACCCCTCACAGTTACTCTTGTTGGGTGTAGGAATAGACCCTGCTGTTAAAAGGTGTTAAAAAAATAGAAAAAAATTGTAAACAAATTGAATTTAGATGCACCTGTCAAATAGGTGCAGAAAAATTGGACCTTGGGTGTTGGTGGTGTCTGAACACTGTAGTCCCTTACATTTAATCTTGCTGGGCACAGGAATGGGACCTGCTGTTAAAAAGTGTTAAAAAATAGAAAATATAGTAAAAAAAATGAAATTAGATGCACCTGCCAAACAGGTGCAGATGAATTGGGCCTTGGGTGTTGGTGGTGCCCTAAACCAAAAACATTGTTGGAAGCTAGCATAATCAGGATTCACAGGTAGTCTTCAAGGGATTCCAGATCACTAACAAATCTAATCTCTTACATCAGCATCAGAGGCTTGATAGCTGCTGTTGATCCAGGTCTGAAATCATTTTGATAAATGTCAGCCAGTCAATGGAGTCTGTGGACAGAAGCACTCTTTTATCCATCACAAAACCTCCAGAAGCACTGAATGTTTGTTCGGAAAGCACGCTGGATGCAGGAAAGGTCAGTAGCTCGATTGCATATTGAGCAAGTTCTGGCCTCCATCTTCAAGACCCAGTAACCCAGTGGATCCTCAGTTGGAAAGGTCTCCAAGTCTGCTCTTTCCCCATATGATGCAGGTGCTGCTGATGGGTGCTTAAACCTAACAGCCCTGGGAATTGAGGACTAAAGAGTTGTCTAAAGCATCAGTCAGCCATCCTCCTTATCTACCACTCTTTGTTTGACCAAATAAAGCCTTGAGAAACATGTTGTTCAGGAAATGGCAACCTCCCAGTGTCTGGAAAGGTGTCACACAACTTTTTCTTCAAGGCGTCCTCAATATGTTTCATCCTCTGCTCTCTACAAAGGCAGGATGAATTCTGCAACTTTACCCTTGTAACATGATCAAGAATTTATTATACAATGTTTGGATTTTAGTCTGAGTCATAACTATTTTTGGTATGAGAAAGTTTTTTATAGACAGATTAGGGGTGTAGCCATGGGAGCTCGGTTTGCCCCAAGTGTGGCAAACTTGTTCATGGCCCACTGGGAACAAGATTCGGTATATAAGGATAAACCTGCTGAACTGGCGTTGTATAAAAGGTACATAGATGATGTTTTCATCATATGGAAAGGGGATGAAAGCAAACTGATGGATTTTTTGAAACAATTAAATAATAACAATAAAAATATAAAGTTTGTATGGAAATGCAGTAACCAGTCCATCCAATTTTTAGATTTGGACATCCAAGTACAAGGGGAAATTATTAGTACCATAACGCATTTTAAGGATGTGGACCGGAATGGTTACATCCCGATAGAGAGCTGTCATTTTCCTTCGTGGTTACTGAATATTCCAAAGGGCCAGTTCATTAGGTTAAAAAGGAATTGCACATATGAAAAAGATTATAATACTCAGGCCATGATTTTAGAAGAAAGGTTTGCATCCAAAGGTTACGCTGTGTCTGATCTTAAGAAGAGTAAATTGGAGGTGGCCAATATGGATAGAAAGATACTTATTGGGAATAAAATAAAAAGTGATGATAAGGAGAAGGTTGATCAAGTAGCGGTGATTCTGGATTTTAATTTACAATATAAAAAAATTCAAAATGTTTTTAAGAAGCACTGGCCAATTTTAAAAATGGATCCGTTATTAGGCAATATATTGCCAGAACAACCCAAGTTTGTCTATAGGAGAGCCCCCACTTTAAGGAACAAAATTATGAAGAACGTATTGGATCCACCTAAGACGAATAGAGAAGGTACCCTGTTTAATGTCACCGTTTTTTTTCCTTGCAAAAAATGTAGTGTCTGCAAAGCCACAAAAGGGCAAAATCAAAAGAAGAAAGAGTTTGCGTCCAATAGCAATGGTAGGCCATTTGAGATTAAAGATTTCATTACGTGTAAAACCGAAGGGGTCATTTATGTTCTAGAGTGTAACTGTGGTCTGCAGTATGTGGGACGCACTAAAAGGGCTTTGTGGGTGAGATTAAGAGAACATGTGACAAATATACTGAAGGGGAACCCAAAACATAATGTTTCTAAACATTTTGCGAGCCATCATGGTAATGATCCCTCGGGATTGAAATTCTGGGGGGTAGAGCGTTATAAAAAACATTGGAGAGGAAGCCACAAAGTGAGAACAATTAGTCAGGCGGAGTCCAAGTGGATTTATTTTATGCAAACGTTGTCACCTAGAGGTTTAAATATTGAATTTGACCTCAATTGTTTCATTAATGACTTTTAAATAATATTTGGTTAAAATCTAAGATGCGAGATGTGGCGATTTTAGAAATGTATGATTTCATCTATGTGTACATGTGGTATGGGTAGTATACAGGAGTTCTGTATTAGATTTTTATTATATTTTTTTAATATATTTTTTATATATTTTTTAGATTTTTTTAGTAGATTTTTAATCATGGTTTTATTGGAATTGATTAAAATAAATTATTTAAGTAATATTTCTTCAAATTAATGTGTTTAAAATAAATATAATGTATAAATTTAGCGTATGGAATGGGGGTTTCAAATAATTAGGAGTAGGGAAGTATTGGTAGTAGATATGGGTGTGTTGATACCTATATCGGTTTATTCCCTGAATAAATCCCTTTTTGGCTTATGATTGGTATTTGGTATATATTATATACCTATTTTAATAAATATTAAATATGGGGCAATAAAAGTTTTTAATGGGGGTTAATTGTATTATTAAAGCATATCGTTATACATGGGTCATCCTTGGAAATATAGATATACATGCCCTTCATTGATTGTTGGGAGTAGGGAAAGTAGCGGCGGATCGCGGACGTCCTGTGTAGAGGGCTCCATGAAAATGGAGTTAATATGCACGCCCCTTGTAGATTAGGAGAGCGGTTATAAGGAAGTGCGGCCATCCAATACGGTATCCTGAAGAAGCCACGTGACTGTGGCGCAACGCGTCGACGTATAGGGGTGACGTACTTCCGGTTCCGGGTTCGGACGCCATCTTTGGACACCTGTATACACCCATAGTACATGGGAAATGCTTTACCTTGCTGAAGGACATGTGAGTGTAATGTTCGATTCTACTGATGAAGTGTATTAAACGGTGTTGCACTATGGAGATGTGATTCTGTTTTTCATATGCGCCCTGTGCCTGTGTCCATTCTATGAGGGGTATTGGAGTGTAACTGACTGCCTGGAGGAGGATTTTGAGCGGTGAAGGCAGTGGAGGAGAATTATATCTGGCAGAGTCCGTTTTGTGAGGGGAGCTTTTGGAGTATTACTTACTGCCTGGAGGAGGATCATGGTCGGTGGAGGCAGTGGAGGAGAATAAATCTGGCAATTATATATATAAAAAAAGCTCTGTGACCCGCAAGGGTCGAATGTGGAAGGTGAGGGGGCATTTTGGCTATCATTGAGGGGAGTCACGTCAAGATTTCACGAAGAGCACTATTGCAGCATGGAGTGATATTATTTGAACACTTTTTATGTTTTTGCACAGTGTGGCATCACCATCCTATTTGTTTTTTATTTAAATTGGTCCGATTAATTGCATTTGAGTACCTTTTTTTTGCACAGTTTAAGTAATATTAATCACTACACCACTAGGGATGTAATATATAGTGATGAGGATATTGCACTAGTTATTATTGTATTATTTGTATAAGAGGTATTATTTATCACCTTTTTCACCAGCATATATTTATAAAGGGGTTATTGCACTAGTTTTTTGATTATTTTAGTTGAGCGCTTCACCACTAATATAATTTGGATCAAGAAGGGTTGCCAACCACTAATGAGCCCTCTCCTTGATACAACGAATCCTTAGGTCCTTTTGCAGGCTTTGCAGAATCAGGGAGCCCATGCAGTGTAGATTTGAAGAGGCATGGGATTCTCAGTGCTCTGGGTCACCAGGGATGACACTGTCAGGAACTACCTCCTCCCAGATACATACTACTCCTGGCTGGGTTCTGTGGACTGAAAACCATCCTTTGAAGACTGTCGTATGTTATCCTCTACTTCCATACTGCCATAATTCTCCTCTACTTCTGTCTGTTCTGTGGCCCCCACAGGAATGGTATCTGCATAAAGGGAGCCTTGGCAGGAAAGGAAGTCCTCCTCTTCCTCCTTGCCTATGATTCCATACAGCGTGTGCTCCATCAG